AATTTATGATAGTCTCACACACACACACAGAGAGAGAGGCAGAGACACAGGCAGAGGGAGAGAAGCAGGCTCCATGCACCGGGAGCCCAACGAGAGGATTCGATCCAGGTCTCCCGCTAAACCGCTGCGCCACCCAGGGATCCCTGAAAGATTACTCTTTCATAATATTGTCCTATTTAAATCAGTCTGCCATGTGAAAAGCTAGGATGAAAGTGTACATTTTTTTTTGAAAGTGTACATTTTTATGATGAATTGATGATGTCTCTTTGAGCCCACAAACCATTTCATATCACAATCTCTTGGAGGGAAGTATTTTAATGTTTTTTTCCTCTAAGGCCTATTCACCCCCTAATTATCCCATCACCTGTCAGGGAGGCTGACGCAGAACTTTGGGGAATCAGGCTCCGTCTCCTACGGAGGAAGCCTCAGGCTTCCTGAAAGAGTGTAATGCCTGCTTGCCTATCCTGACGCATCCAAGCACGGTTTTGTAAGCATTATTGTTTGTTAACATGAGTAAGAGGTGATATGAAGATCACAATGGGTCCTTTGTGATCCGGTATATTTGCCTTTATCTCAAATAACCAAGGGCTGGTGCTCTTGCTTACTCTGCTGACCTGGAGAAAAGATATTAGTACTTTCTTCCTCCCTCTTGTTCATGCCTGGCCGCTCACCTTCTCCCACCGTGTCCTGCTCACACAGCTAAAGCTCGGGAGTTCACTGACTCAGGCCTCAGTCGAGTCAGTGTCCTCAGTGCTCCCAATGGCCTGGAACCATGTCATTCAACACAGTCCAAACCAGAGTTAGCTCAGCAGCAGCACCAAGAATTCCACCTTGGTGGAATTGTCGCTGCTTCCTGCCCCGTAGATACCATCTCCTAAAATCAATGCTAGTGTGACAGGTCTGAGCAGCAAAGGGCCCCCTTATCAACTTGTTTTTCCTGAATCACGAGAGACGTCCTCCATAAATTACATCATATTCAAAGGAACACAAACGGCTTCCCAGGGAGGAAAGGAATGCCACCGTAGTGACTCCAGGACCCTAAAAGAACCTGTATGAACTTGAATTCACTCACCTGAACACGGGGATGAGGGAAGCTAACCGCGAGGGCTGCTGTGGCGTTCCAGCAACGCTACAGGGCTGAGCACTGGGGCTGGCGCCAACACATCAATCTTTCCTTTGCAGGATCCTTAGGCCAATTTTGTTTTCTCTCATACAGTTTTCTCCATACAGTTCTTGAACATCTTTTGTTAGATCTATGTCTAGATCACTTACAAATTTGCTATTTTAAATACGTTTTGCAGGGGCACCTGGGTGGCTCAGTCAGTTGAGTGTCTTTCTTCGGCTCAGTCATGATCTCAGGGTCCTGGGATCGAGCCCCACACTGGGATCCCTGCTTAGCAGGGAGTCTGCTTCTCCCTCTCCCTCTGCTGCTCTCTCTCTCTAAAGTAAGTAAATTAAATCTTAAAAAATAAAATACTTTTTGTTTGTTGCTCTCTTGATGGTGAATAGAAATACAAATGACTTATACATTGAGCTTTTGTAACCCATCAATCTTACTAAAATTATTTATAATACTTTTTATGAAGGTTTTTAATGTAATCATTTCATCTATGCATAATGACAACTTTGCTTCAGCCTTCCCAATCCTTATTTTTTTTTTTTATTATTTTTCTTACAACGATATAGGCCTTCGGCATAATGCTGAAGAGAAGCCAACGATACTCCGCATCCTTATCTTGATTTTGAATAAAATGTCTTCAGTGTTTTACAATGAAGAATGATGCTTGCTATAGAGATTTTTTGGTTGATATCCTTCATCAGGTTAGATATTCTTAGTTTGCTGAAAATTTTTTTTAATCATGAATGGGCATTGGACCTTATCAAATGCATTTTCCATATTCACTGAAATGACTGTTTTTATCTCCTCTGCTAATGTAAATGACAACTACAGCGTGTTAAGTTAAAACGATTTTTTACTCCTGCGCTACAGCCAAGATCCTATCTGCTACATTTAGTTTAGGATCTTTCTTTTCTCTTTTTTCTTTTCTTTTCTTTTCTTTTCTTTTCTTTTCTTCTCTTCCTTCCTTCCTTCCTTCCTTCCTTCCTTCCTTCCTTCCTTCCTTCCTTCCTTCCTTCCTTCCTTCCCTTTCTATTTTATTTATTCATGAGAGACACAGAGAGAGGCAGAGACACAGGCAGAGTGAGAAGCAGGCTCCATGCAGGGAGCCCGACATGGGACTCGATCCTGGGTCTCCAGGATCATGACCTGAGCTGAACACAGGTGCCCAACCTCTGAGCTACCCAGGCATCCCTGTTTAGGATTTTTCTATGTCCATGAGTGATATTGGCCTTTAATTTTATTGTTCAAATTAGATTTAATTTTATTTCTCAAGACTCAAGACTATTTATAGTAATTTCATATAATAACTTGACAAAGATTTTTTCTTTGAAAAATTTGTATAAGATTTGAACAACCTGTTTTTCAAAAGTTAGAAATAATTTAAATAAAATGAATTGGATCTAGTGCTTTTCCTGGGAAGACTTTTAACTATCAACTCAATTTCTCTAATGATAATTGGGCTATTTGGGCTTTCTAATTTTTAACTGAGACATTGGGTTAATATATATTTTCCTAGGGATGTGTCCATTTGGTCTACATTTTTAAATTCATTAATCAATTCAGATTTAGTATATATGTTTATTTTTATTGTTTTAATTTTAATTCCAGTATAGTTAACATACAGTGTTATATTAGTTTCAGATGTACAATTAATGATTCGACACTTCTTACTACACCAGTGCTCATTCCAAGTGCCCTCCTTATTACCCACCACCTATGTAACCCACCCACCCACCCACCTCTCCTCTGGTCACTATCAGTTCTGTAGTTAAGAGTCTGTTACTTGGTTTCTCTCTTTTTCCGTTGCTCATTTGTTTCTTAAATTCCACATACGAATGAAATAATATGGTATTATCTCTCTCTGCCTTATTTTGCTTAGCAATAATACTCTCTAGTTCCATCCATGTTATTGCAAATTACAAGAGTCCATTCTTTTTTAAGGCTGAGTAATATTCCATTGTGTGTGTTTGCCTTATCTCTTTATCCATTCATTTATTGGTGGACACTCAAGCTGCTTCCATAATTTCAGCATTGTAAGTAATGCTGCAAAAAACATAGGGGTGTACGTATACCTTTGAATTAATGTTTTTGTATTTTTTGGGTAAATATCCAGTAGTGTAATTACTGGAACATAGGGTAGTTCTATTTTTAACTTTTTTTTTTAAAGATTTAATTTATTTATTTGAGAGAGAGAGAGAGAGAGAGAGGGAGACAGAGCACAGAAGCAGGGGGAGCTGCGGGTAGATGGAGAGTGAGAAGCAGGCTCCCACCTGAGCAGGGAGCCAGATGGACATGAGGCTTAATACCAGGACTCCGGGATCATGACCTGAGCCAAAGGTCACGCTTAACCAACTGAGCCACCCAGGAGCCCCTATTTTTAACTTTTTATTTTTTTTTATTTTTAACTTTTTAATAAAACTCCACACTGTTTTCCACAGTAGCTGTACCAGTTCGCATTCCAACCAACAGTGCAGGAGGGTTCCCTTTTCCCTATGTTCTCGTCAACATTTGTTTCTTTGGTTTTTGATTTTTAGCCATTCTGAGAGGTGTGAGGTGATATCTCACTGTGGTTTTGATTTGCATTTTCCTGATGATCACATGAGACACACGAGCATCTTTTCATGTGTCTATTGGCCATCTGTTTGTCTTCTGTGGAGCAAGGTCTGTTCAGGTCTTCTCCCATTTTTCAATTGGGTTATTTGAATTTTGGGTGTTGAGCCAATACATTGGCTCTTTATGTATTCTAGATACTAACCCTTTATTGGATATACGGTTTGGAATTATCTTCTCCCATTGAGCCTTTTCATTTCATTGATGTTTTCTTTGCTATGCAGAGGCTTTTTATTTGATGTAATCCCGAAGTTTATTTTGCTTTTAATTTGCTTGCCTCAGGAGGCATATCTAGAAAAATGCGATGGCCAATGTCAGAGAAACCATTACCTGCGTTCTCCTCTAGGATTTTATGGTTCCAAGTCTCACATATAGGTCTTTCGTTCATTTTGAATTTTTGTGTATAGTGTAAGAAACTGGCCCAGTTTCATTCTTTTGCATGTAGCTGTCCAGATTCCCGAACACCATTTGTTGAAGACTTTTTCTCATTGTATATTCTTTCCTACTTCAAAAAGAACAACTGCAACCTTTGGTTTTACCAAAAATGAGATGACTTGCCTAAAATAAAACAATTAATGTTCAATCCTACTGACTTAACCTCAGGATTTAAAGGCCAAAAAGAAAGTGTGATCCAAGTTAATTGTTTCTTTTGAAATTTTTAACATTGTCCTATTATTGCCTCTGGCTTCCATTGTGTCTAATGAGAGGTCTGTCTGTTCTTATCTCACTGGGTTCTCTTATTATATGATGAGTCATTTTCCACTCACTGCTTTCAAACTTTTCTCTTTGTTTTCCAACATTTTGGCTATATATGTCTGGATATGGATCTCTTTAGGTTTATCCTACTTGAAGCTCTTGAACTTTCAGATAAATAAAGTTTACCAGTCAAATTTGAAATGTTTCAGCCACTATTTCTTTAGATATTTTTTCTGTACCCTCCTCCCAACTCCCCCGATTTTCTGGGGATGTTGGTGTACTTAACTTAAATGTTCCACATTTCTATGAGGTTGTTTCATTTTCTTCATTCTTTTTTTTTTCCTTCTTAGAATACTTGCCATTTGGGAGACTTCTATAAAAATAAATCATTTATTTTGGTGTCTTAATTCTTCATAAAGATTGAGTTATTTAAAAGTCTTCACAAGGATGCCTGGGTGGCTTAGTCGGGTAGGTGTCTGCCTTGGGCTCAGGTCATGATCCCAGGATCGAGTCCCACATAGGGCTCCCTGCTCAGTGGGGAGTCTGCTTCTCCCTCTGCCCTTCCCACCTGCTCATGATCTCTCTCAGCTTCACAGATTTGAGTGTTATCCTTGTGCAGGGACCATACTAATTTCTGTATCACTCCAGTTTTGGTATAAGTGATGCCAAATTGAGCACTCATCATTTTTTCCCCCCTCTCTCTCCTTTAGATTATGGAAGCTCAATTACTCTGGATTCATGTTAACTTTCTTCTGTCAGCTGAAGCCTACTGTTGAACCTATCTAGTGAATTTTTCATTTTGGTTATAATTTCTAACTCCAGAATCCCCATCTGGTTCTCTTTTAAAGTTTGTATCTTTTCATTGATATTCTCCACTTGATCAGACACTGTCATCATACCACCCTTTAATTCCTGAGACATGGTTTCCTTGAATTCTCAGAACATACTTATTGTGGCTGCTCTGAAATTTTTGTCTGCTAAGTCCAATATCAGGGCCCCTTCACTTGCCTGCATTGTTTTCCCCTGTGTATGGGCCAGAGTTCCCTGTTTCTTCATCTATCTTCTAATTTTTTGTTGATGAGTATTTTCTTTTTAAGATTTATTTATTCATGAGAGATGAGAGAGAGACAGAGAGAGACAGAGAGAGGCAGAGACGTAGGCAGAGAAGTAGGCTCCATGCAGGGAGCCTGATGTGGGACTCGATCCTGGAACTCTGAGATCACATCCTGGGCTGAATGCAGATGCTCAACCACTGAGCCACGCAGGTGTATTTTTGAAAATATATTGTGGCAACTCTAGATACAGATTCCTCTTCTACCCCAGGCCTTGATGCTGTTGTGATCTGCACAGTAGTTCATTCAGTTGTTTACTAACTAGTCCAAACTTTTCCTGTAGGCCTCAGTAATCAGGCGTGCCTGCCCAAATGTGTGTGTGTGTGTGTGTGTGTGTGTGTGTTTTGTTTTGTTTTTAATCTTTTCACATGGCTTAGGTTGCCCCCAGATCAGCATAAGCCACTTTTTAGTGAAAGATTCTGCTTAATCTCCCTCAAAAGTTAGATTTTTACTCTTTGCCATTGGGTATATATACCTTGGAGGTTGCTATCATAACTCAAGGAGATAAATGTTTGCCCTCATTCCTCTCCAGCAGACAGGGTTTGTATTAGCGCTTTTTAATCATACCCCTATGAGGGTATGGCCTTGGGCCTGCCAGACTGCTAGGCACATGTGCGTCATTTATTTTAAAGTCTGGCTTCTTAGGAGTTGCCCCTGGGTCAGAGCAGCTTACTGTTCATCTAGTGTGACTGGAGGTGGTACTGAGTTCTGCAGTGTCAGTGAGGTTTGAATCCAAAATCTTCTATGGGGTTGCTGTGACTGTATTGAGTGGGTGCCAAGCACATCCTTCTTGACTCCAAAAGTTTTATTGTGATACTATGAGGATTCTTCTTGGCTGTGTCTTTTCCCCTGATGCATCCTGTTAAGCTTCTGATGGCTTGGCCATTTCCTTGTTGATAAAGTATCACAGAGCTACAAGCACTCCGAGTTGCTCTCCACCAAGATCCCCATTATTTTCAATAATGCCTTGGACATGGGATTGTACTGTGTTCCAAATAAAGCCAGCCAACTCACATAGTGCCTTAAAGCCCTTCTTCCTCATAACTTGTCTTTCTCTGGGCAGAACCTCTGAGCCACTTATAGAACTGGGGTGTGAAGACTGTGTCTCCTTCTCTTGGAGTTGTAACCCTGCTCTAGGGTGGGTGCTGGAGGTGATGGTGGCAGCACGGGGCTAGGGCTGCCTTTCTGGTGTGGTGCTTCTATCTTATGGGTGGATTGGGGTAGGACAACTGAGCTAGTATATTCTTGGTCGACCACACTTGGCGTAGAGATACAACATGGGCTAAGGGATTTCCTATAGTCAAACTGTATCCTAGACTATGAGTTGAGGGGAGAGGGGACATCTTGACTGCAGTCCTGGAGTAAGATCCCCAGCATAGTCTTCATAAGACAAACTGGGTTGGTGGGGGAGTAGGACATGGCTTAAGGGCCACGGACTCTTTGTTCATCCCGAAATTTGGTAGATTTTCTTGATTCTATTGATGGAATGTTTCTCCATTTATTGTATGCCTTTAGGAAAGTTTCCTGAGGCTTTTTATATGTATTTTTAAGTTTTTTCCAGTTAAAATGTTTATTAGGGAGAGAATCCACTGTGTCTTCACTCTGCTATTCCAGAAGCAGGTCTTCCATTTTTATCTTCAATGTACTTCCATTAAAATAATGATCCTCTGAAAGACAAACTATGAGAGACTCCTAACTCTGGGAAACAAACAAAGGGTTGTGGAAGGGGAGGAGGTGGGGGGAATGGGGTGACTGGGTGACGGGCACTGAGGAGGGCACTTGATGGGATGAGCACTTGGTGTTACATGTTGGCAAATTAAATTTAAATAAATAAAAAAAAAAAGAAATAATGATCCTCTGGAAATTTAGCATGTGCTGTGTAAGAAAACATAATGGTGGGGTGCCCGGAAGGCTCAATCAGTTAAGTGTCTGCCTCTGGCTCAGGTCATGATCGTAGGATTCTGGGATCGGAGCCCCAAGTTAGGCTCCCTGCTCAGCGGGGAGTCTGCTTCTCCCTCTCCCTTTGCCCCTCCCCCTTGCTCATGCTCTCTCTCCCAAATAAATGCATAAAATCTTAAACACACACACACACACACACACACACACACACACACACAGCTCTTTAGCCATTATGAGTTTTGAGAGTATTTGGAAACTTTCCATTCTGAATTTGTAGACTTGTGACTTGTTCTTTTTTCCTAAAAGAAATCTTGATTTGCTTGAACACAATAAAGGAGTCAAGTACAAAATACCAAGTCAGACAAAAGAAGTGCAGTAGATGCAGTGAGGCACAGAGGTACACAGAGCCATGATACAAACATCAAAAGATTCTTAATAACAATGGCACTTATGGGTTTTTCACTGTACACTAAAACAGTGCCCTGGCTTTTTGGTGGTGTCTAGTAAACCTAGGATTCATTTATTTATGTGCTAAATATAGCAGGACTGCTACTGGCTAGGCCCTCTGCAAGGTGCTAGGTATGTGGTAATGAGCTAAAGAACCCCTGCTCTCTGTCCCTCCTTAGGGAAAGACTTCATATGCATATAAATATACAATTACAAACTCTGGGAGTGCTTACAAGGCAATATGCAGAGTACCTAAAAGACAACATGGGGTGGGATGTTCTAACCAGGGTGGTCAGGGAAGGTTTTTAAAGAAATGTGATCTTTAAGCTGAGTCTTAAAGAAGGATAAGCCAATCATGCAAAAGGTTGAGAGAAAAGGACTTACAACAGAGAACATAGCATATACAAATTCCTGTGATGGGAAAGAGCTTTTCCATGTTTAAGAAATTGAAAGAAGGCTAGAAAAAGAGAGAGAGAGAGAGAGAGAGAGAGAGAGAGAGAGAGAGAGAAGAGAAAGAAAGAAAGAAAAGAAAGAAGAAGGGATTAGGTAAGTGATAATAAGGTAAAGACTAATATTTGGTCATTTTGGTGCATTATTCTTTTTTTAATTTTTCAATTACTCTTTTAAAATTATTCTTAATTTAAAATCAAAGTTATATTTATAATAAAATTGAAATGTTGACAAGCATTTGTAAAGAAAGGAGAAAATGGGATGGGGAGGAAAGGACTGGGTTGAGGAAGGAAAGAGAGGCATCTTCCTGGAGAAGTCGCAGGGTTGGACATGGCTGGCACAGGGATGCCCAACAGTGGCTGGGGGTAAAGGCCATGTGATGATGGCCATGTGGAGGCTGATCTGATAGGAGAGCAGAGGTGGTAAATAACTGGCCTGTGTGCCAGCCAGCAAACCTACCTCCTGTCATTGATGAGTCAACAATGAGGTGACACTAAAAGGTGTTAGATAAAACTTTTGTTTCAGAAATATAACGCTTGGGCTAGGGTGGAGGATGGCGTGAACTGAGAACTTTTAGAGCAGGTCTCCTTAGACCAGTAAGAATTCAGTGCTGTAATCAATGACAAATGTCTGATAAGAAATAGTGAAGTCACAAAGTTGTGTTCACAGACTATGTTTAGCTGATTGATATGTTTTATTTGGTTTATACAGTGTTAACACATTTTTAAATTAGTTAACAAGTACCAAAAATTGGGAGATTTTACACAAAACTCCAATATACTGTTTGTTATCTGGCAGCACTGAGTCAATACTCACGGATAAGGTACCAGCTTGTCATTTCATCTTGCGGGCCCCCGCCCCCACCCTTGATCGCCAACTCTCTCACAACTGCTATTCTCTCTTGGCTTCTTTGGCCTCTGTTACCATGTGGGCATGCATTAACAAAAAAATTTCAAGAAGACAGAAGAACATGGTAGTGATGATGGGTAAAGGTCAGGGAAGAGTCTACACTGGCCTAAGATTTCTAAGGAGGTAAGTGGTAGTGAAGAGAAAAGGCAGCCTCAGGGACAAGCAGACCAGACACGAGTTAGAGAAGCTGTAGAATCCAAAGGCTGGTCAAATGACCTGAGCCAGGAAGCACGCAAGGACAGAGCTGATTAACATAGAACCCGGAAATCCAAACTGCTCATGGAAGGTGCAACTCAAAGCAGAGTAGCAGTGCTGTGACGGGGCTGGAGTGGCAGCTCTCTAGCTGACATTCCTCTTTTGTAAGACATACCTCTTGATTATTCTCTGGAGGCTTTTTCAATTACTTTAGTCTAAGATAGATTAGGACAGCATCTGAGGTCTCTGAGCAGACGCTGTAACAGCTTGTGGCCATGCTCAGCAGGACAACCGGTTGACACCAATACTGTCTGTCCTTAGCTCAGAAATACGGTGAACTCAACTGCTAGCCAAGGAGATCTGACATTTTATTTTATCATTTTTAAAAAAGATTTTATTTACTTACCTACTTGAGAGAGAGAGAGCCTGCAGGGGGAGAAACAGAGGGGGAGAGAGACCAGCAGACTCTGTGCTGAGCGTGGAGACTGATAAGGGCTGGATCTCACAACCCTGAGATCACGACCTAAGCTGAAATCAAAAGTGCACTGATTGGGCCACCCAGGCACCCCAGGAGACTTGACATTAAGTGATGGGTCAGTGTCAATAAAATTGAGCTTCTACTTCTGGAAGCTTTCCTGCTACAGAATACCCACTGGACAAGGTAGA